AGTGCTAAACTCTATGGCTGTGGGGTTTGGGTTTGGCCTCCAGTGAAATAGACCTGGTGGCACAGTGAGTTAAGCTGGGGGGCGGCTCACAGTCAGGTGCCTGGATGCCAGTGAGCTTGGATTTCATCTTCTCCGGGCCTCTGTCCGGCAGGGTCACTATGAGTTGGATGGAACCCACTGGACAGCTTTGGTTTGATTGAGTGAAATCATTCTTAATATACTTATAGATCATCATTATATCTCCATGTTTAAGTGTCAATTCGTTTTGAATGCCTTTATGGGTCTTCAGTGTAAAGCTTTCACAAATAAAATTCTCCATCTGCTTTTAATCCTTTGGGGGGAACCAAACCGAACCAAACTCACTGCCACCGAGTCCATGCCGACTCAGAGTGACCCTACAGGACACGGTGCAACTGCCCCTGGGAGCGCCCGAGACTGTCCCTCCTTATGGGAGTAGAAAGCGCCTTCTTTCTCCCCCAGCTTTCGAACTGATGTCCTGGAAACTGTCAGCCCAACATGGAAACACTATGCCACCAGGGCTCCACTTGGGGCCTATGAAGGCTATAAATACAGAGAAATAATACCTCTTCTAAAATGTATTCTAAATTCTCCAACAGCTGCCTAAGTTATGGGCTCAGAATCAGGATTTGGGGTCTTAAGTTGTTGGCTGCCTTGGGGTCAATCCGGACTCATCCAGCACGTAGAACTCTAGGGTTTCCACAACTGCGGCCTTTCAGAAGGAGACTGCTAGGCCTGGCTGACGAGGCACCTCTGGGGAGGTCTGAACTACCACCCTGTTGGTTAGTAGCCCAGGGCTTGCTGATCTGTGCCATCCAGGGCACCCTATTGGGGTCTAGCATGTATCGTGTGAGCTATAACTCTCACGTCCAACATAAAATCATTCTCAGGCTACAAGCCATGTTACGCATTCACAGCTTGATCGAAATTTAAATCAGACATGCTCAGCAATTGATACAGGCATGAAGCCTGAGCGCCAATAGTGACGTGCTAAGTGATTACGGGAACACAAGGGCGGATGACGTTGGAAAGAATTGGGAAAATAATATGAGCTCAGAGAAGAGAACGGTTGTGGCATGGCTTCTGGAAACTCCTTTCACCACCCGCTTGCTCACCCACGTGGCCAGTAGGACGATGATGGTGAGAAGAGCTTTCGCTTGTTCCAGCAGCGCTTGTAAAGCCATTGCTCTGGTTCAATGGACTGACGTCGAAGAGTTCTAGGTGAGAGACAGGAAGGAAGAGAATGCCATTAACATGATGAGCGAGTACACACCGTTCTTGCAATATAGCTTCTTGCTATTGTTGGGTGTCACTGAGACCCGGCGACCCTGTGTGACAGAGCAGAACTGCCCTGTACATGTCTTTTGAAGGCACCTTAACTGTTTATTATGATGAACCCGCGCTTGACATTGGAAGAGAATATTGCCAAAGGAGATTACATACGAACATCCGGACTCCTATCCAGAAGTAGGAAATTGGTTTATAATTTGTAAACCCACAATGAGTAACCATGATTACAAGGAATTCAAATTACAGCAAGTGTTCAGACATATAGGAATACATAATTATCCACATAAAAGATGAAATGAAAACTTTAGTTGTTTTCATTCATACACATTATTAATGTATAATAAGCTCTAATAATCTCTCTCTTTTTTTAAGGGAGCAGAATGCCAGGACCCTCTCCCCAGAGTCAATGGATGGGCTCAAACTGCCAACCTTCTGGTTAGCAGCCTTGTGCTTAACCCTCCTGCCACCAGGGATCCTTCAAATACTGTG